ATGAGTAGTAGTTTTGTCGAAAGGTTCTCTCTCTAGTCTTCAGGAGAGTATTTGAAATCCAGTTTAACATGCAGTGTTTCAAAGAAGATCTAGAAGTTATTAAGGAACTCATGGAGCCATTTTATTAGCATTTGTGAAATGTTCACATGACCCATACTTAAAATCAGTCCTGCTTTGCTTGATACAGAGATATATATGTATACAGATAGAATGTGAATGAAAGATCGTATCGGAGAGACACTTGTTGCTAAATTAGATTACTGGAATGAGAAAAAGGAATATTTGAGCTCAGAAGTCTTACCACTTTTCCAAATTAGTAAATATGCAAGTTTCACGTGTAGCTTTTCATAGCAATAACCACTCTTAAATGAGTGTCCTTTTGTTGCAAACATCCTGAAACCTCCGTAAAATCCCAACCCCAGGATGCTTCTGGGAGTGAGCAAGAGCCCACTGCATCCCATGTTTTAACTCACTGTCATTGCAGTTGTTGAACTCACTTTTTGCAGGCGACTTTGTCGTGAAGTATCCAAAACAAACGCTATATGATTTTATATAAACTAGTGCTTGTGATATTCAGTGAGAGCACAGAGACCCAGCAGTCTGTCTTTTCAAACAAAATATCTGGAGTAGAAAAACACTTAACTTGTTTTTCTTTTTTATCACTGTAATAAAATAGACTAGATGGAGCTTTACAGATAGTAAGTTCTTATGGGCAGCTTCTGCATATTTTGTAACTTAGTGTAGGCAGAATTTCCAGTATCATACTTCTTGAAAGTTTTCAGATAGTTCTAGAAAACATAATTGACCTATCACTACTATATATTCCAATAATAATCTAAAGGTAAGCAGCACGTAGATTATTTTGATTGGATGTCAATGTTACTAGATAAAATACTCCTTGATCTGTGTGGTCCATAAAAACAGGAAAATGACCCTCAAAATAAAAGCTTCAACTTCAGTAAGGATGGGAATGAAGAAGAGTAAGAGGAAAGACCCTTTGAGAAAATGAAAGCGATGAATGTGTTTAGATGTTTAAGTTTTGTTGTAAGTAAAAATGATTGAAGTAGTGTTGTAAAAGATCTGTTTTGGAAAAGGGGGGTAACTTTTCTTCTATTGTATGATTTTTCAAACTAGAAGATCACTGTTCTGGCACACAGATACTGACAAGTGTCACTTTAATCACGGATGTTACAGGGATATCTTGAGCTGTTGGTTAGCTGGACAGGAAGAAAGGCTTTGATTTTTTTCTGGTGGGTTGGAAGTTATATACTTTTCTGTTGAAAGCTCTTGCAAGGGTTATATCCAGGTGTAAAATTTTACAAGAATACTACCCTAGATAACTTTATAATGGTTGTGATTAGGAAATAAGATTTTTAATATTTTTTAATATTATATTTTTAATATTATATTAATAATACTTTTAATATTGTCACATTTAATCTTATTCTTGTTAAATTATAGTTGATGTATTGTTTTGGTCAACAGACTTTTTTTCTTGGTGCAAAAACCTTAGTGATTATTAGCAGTAGCAAAATTATACATACTTCCTGCTTAAATTCCTGAAGAGCTGAGCTAGCATTCAGTAGTCAAGTAAAGCTTCCTTTTTGCCTGTAGCAAACACATAATTTTTTTTCAAAATATGATTCATGAAAATGTCTATACTAATGATTACAAAAGGGAAAAATAAAGCTACAGCAAGAGTCTCCAGTGTACCTCATTACCAGATAAGTAATCCTCAGAGGCATGGGAGGCTTAATTAAATGTCCATCTAGCGTTTTGAGTTTATGAACTGTTAAAAGCTGTTCTGGCAAAAGATTGCAAATGATTAAAACTTGTAAAGTTAATGGAAACTGGTAACATCTTAATTTGTTTTCCTTGTTCTTCCCTCACTGCCTGGGAAGTGAGAATAATGAGATTTGGTCTTGGATGAGTGTGGAACACAGTGTTGGGCGTCTGTGTAAACTAGTAACTGTATATTCAGTGAATCTTTGGATGAAATGCAGTAAGGCTTGAGGCCATGCCTTGAGAGTTTATTTACGCTATTATAAATGAAAATATATCTGTCCCGTAGCGTTGTGCATCCTGAGACCTGGGAAGAGTTCTGAAAACCATTGTGTGTTATCTTGCAACTAAGAGTATTGATAAAACTTGCACAGAGGGGCAGAAATACAGTTGCTCAGACAACTTTTAATTGTTGCATTTATTAATTTTTCAGTGAATGTCTTTGCAGTGTAAATTATTTTTTCCTAGGTTGTGTAAGTGTTGCTTATTTAAAGTATCCTTCAACACGAGGTGGAAGACCTCGACTTGTAGTCCTGACTTGAACTGCATGACTGCACAGCCTTGGGAAAGTAACTGCTGTGGAGTTTTCCACTTTTGTTAAAGGGAGACAATACTCTTAGTATTAGTTGTGTTAATATTAGGTTGGAGATTAGAATATGAGATATATTATCCGTGCTTTTATTTAGTGGAATACCTGAGAGCTGGATACTTTTAAACTAAAGCATATTGCTGAACCAGTCCATAGTAACTATTTGATTTTTCTAGACAAACAATTTGGGTGTAAGAGGGAGGAGGGTATCAGTTGTCTTTGCTATACCTGTGGAATTTCTTCATATAAGAAAGCCGTCATGAACAAGACTGAAAGACCATCTGGCCTCATGTTCTTCTCAGATAGTGGCTAGTTGTGGATGCTCAAAGAGTGAGAGCAGAGCAGCCTTAAGGAAATATTTTCCCCTGAATATTCTCCTAGTGTTTTGTAATCTGTGGCTCAGATGCTGCCTGAGCTCAAAGATCTACCCTTGGTTTTGTAAAAGATTTTTACCCCTGTCATCCAGAACTCTCTCAGTACTAGGTGAAAAGTATGTAAGAGGACTTTCACAATTAAAACTGAGGAGCTGTTTAGCTTCCAGATTAGCATTTACTTTGTGTACCTGCAAGCCCTCCTTCTCTTAATGAGGTTGCTAATCTGGTACAAGCAGAGTGCAAGCCTCTGTCAGTTCAGCCAAATCCATTTGTTGTGATGGAGACTGATCAGTCAAGTCCCAAGGGTGCACTGAAAGATTGGAGTTGGATTGCAGGCTTTCAGTTTAGGTAGTTCTCACCTAAACTAGGTATGCTACTTTCTCTTCATGCTCTCTTCAGGAGTGAATAACATAGGGTAGGCTGGTGTATCAAAAATGTTTAAGACTAAAATTACTTTTTTATAGAAGTCTGTCTGGTACACTTGGGTGATACGACTCCAAAGGGGAGGGTAGCAGATCGTTGTATGTGTTTTTTATGCTCTAACACTTACTTATTTCTTATCCTGCAGGTCGGTGAGCTCGTTAAGGTCACAAAGATTAACGTGAGTGGTCAGTGGGAAGGAGAATGTAATGGTAAACGTGGTCACTTTCCATTCACACATGTCCGCCTGCTGGATCAACAGAATCCTGATGAGGACTTCAGCTGAGTGTGGCTCAACAGTTTCGCTTACAGATGGGAACAATCTCCACTTGTTTTATTGCAGATGCCATCAAGACTATGTTCCGACAGATGTTGAAAGCGGTATTGCTTGTATAAGCATTCTGATAACCTGCAAACCCCTGGGACTGAACACCACCATTCCTTAATCAAGGGTCATGTAATTCAGGGTACGACAGTAGATAACTTGTGTGTCAAGTGGCAGAACTAGTACATGATTATAGGTTGTAATGCCTGCTTACGTCCATGTGCACAGCAGACTGGACCTTGCCAGCAGCAGCAGCTGGAGAAAGCAGTAACGTAGATGTTGTTATAGCATTTATAGCTCTCTCCGGACCTATTTCTTATGTTGCTTCTTCCTCAGGCAATGAACATCAACCTTAGACAATTCAATGTATAGGTAGAAATTTCACAAATTTATTCTGGAGCTTTCTCCACTTTTTTTCCATTCTGAATTCTGTCCTAGAAAGGCTATATAGTACTTTGCATGGTGAGTTAACTGTGCGCAGTACAGATTTTTGTAGAGCACATTGGGGACAGCGGTATGATTTAGAGATAATTACCATGTTAATGGTAAATGACAAATCAAGTCAACCTCAGAATTCTAGACGTTTGTGGACACTAGATTTGATTTCTTCAGTACTGTTGATGCTTCAAACATAGCAGCTGATTTAAATTAAAATTTCTATTAACACACCAGTATCTCTCTTCTTATCCACAAATATAAGGCTTATGGAAGTGTAAACATCCATATCAGTGCTGAAAAATATGTGCATAGCACTTTAATGCATAGCTTTAAAGCAGTGTTTGATTCACTAAGTATACTAAAATATTGGCACTGCTTTCAGATAAAATTAAATTATATAGGGCCAGTTTAATATTTTTAGAATTCTTCAATATTCCTATACATTACAGTACAAATCAGCGTCAAACATGGTGAACTGACAAACCAAATATTACTTCTATTTTAAAAGTTATTCTGGGGACTCTTCTGGTTTAATTGCAATTTGTAAAAATATCTGGTAGTTAATTCATGAGGATTATATTTTTAATAAACTAATGGAAAATACCTGTGTGCTTCTGAATTGATTCTCAAAAGGCATAATAGAGTAAATACAGCTTCATAGCTCATAATGAAAATCAGTGCATTGAATAAGTGATATTATGCGCTGCTTGATTTTCTTCCTCAGCCTGTTCTTCTAATTATCTGGTTTTCTCTAATATAAATCAGAATGGATTCAGTAAGTTTTGTAAACTAAAATTAAACACTGAAGTAACTATCCCTTGCCCGTACCCAAATACGGCACTCTAGTGACCAAACTTAAGCAAACAAATTTCGTAACTTTGACTGCAGTGTAATCCATACAGAACAGTTTTTGTAAATAGTATTAAACTGAAAACATTATTTTGGTCGATAGAAACCGCGTGACTAGAATGTGTCATTGGCTGTAAATGCTGCGAGGACTAGTTCTCATTGCAAAGGCTATTGCTGCAAGGCATGGACCCATAAAACAGAATACTGGTAACACTTTACCTCAGAACTGTGTAACATGCTGGAAATGATAACACTTGTATTTAAGTACTAGTTGCTTTTCTTTGGTCAGACTTGCCGATGAGTTAGTTCCGATTTTTCAGATAATGGGCACCCAATAACACTATAGACTAATGCCAACGTATGTGAATCATACTTTTCCATCACCAATCTCCTAAGCACTACAAAAGAGTATTAGAAAACTGACAGTGGGTCTGTTCTTGTGACAGGGACCTAGTAACTAGGTAGAGTACTAGGGTAACTGCAGTACTATTCTAGCTTGGATTGCTGTTCTGGGTAAGATGATATGCCAGTCTTTGACTGTGGTGTGTCACTTCTAGCTTAGTGCAAAATCTACTTTGGAGAAAATTAGAGGAACTAACTATATAGGTTCAGTAACACATTGGTTTCTGTAAGTTTAATTTGTATTTTTCCTCTGACCTTGATATTTAATGCAACTGAATTTTCAGTAGTCATACTCGTTAAGTGCAGACTTGCATACTAAGCTTATCAGTTGCCCATATATGCTTATATTTTTCTTCACGTATTGCAAAAGAAGCATAATGAACTGTGTGTTCTTGAAGTAACACAGTTTGTTCTGAAGGAATTTTTTCCGATGGCAGTTAATGAAAATCATTTGTAGCTTTCCAATCAGCAATTATTTTAAGATAACAAAACACATTTTTTCTGAAAGGAATTTTATTATGCAAATCTTGCCTTTTTATTATGAAAAACAAATTGAATTGTTAACTAGCAAATACCCTGCAAACTTTGTAGATGTGTTTTTTTTTTTTGGTGAAGACTGTATAAATTGCAAATATTTGTACACTTTGAAAGAGCAAAAAAAGTAACTAGAGGAGTCTTAATAGCTGCTGTTGCACTAGAATCCTAAGTTCTTGTCAAGCAGTTTTTTTCTTAGTCAACTGATACATTATGCAACTGTTTTCCACTATTCTGTTTTAAGCTGAAATGTGATTTTGTTTCATAGGTGATAGAAGTTACTATGTTTGCATTTGTACAAAATAGACATTTCAACTTATCGAACTCTTAAAGGAAAATAGGTAGAACATATGTTCATAAACACGTAGATGAAATCCTCTTGTGGCCTTTGTTTATCCTCTTCTATTTGTTCCTTCCCTCCTTCCCGATGCGTGCAAAAAATCATTGCTAAGAATGTTGGTCACAATCTCTTGTCTCTACTTGGCTGTGGTTTTTTTGGTCTATTGTGCATAGGCAGGTGTTAGAACTAGAATAATCATTTCTAGAAATACACCGTTGAAAGCAGAATGCTCAATTACACTGTGTTCTTCTGGTGCATTTACACATTATATCACACTAAAAGTACAACTGGCTGCTATGGTTTTTTAATATATATTTCATTTTGGTAAACCCCAGCCTTTTTACTAATATTTGACCTGGTTAAATCTTGTTAATCTGTTTGAATTTTATTTGTTAATAATGCAAATATTTCTAATCATCTTAAAACACTTCATTTTTTTTGTTAGTAGTTTTGGGGAAGGAGTCTAACCAAACCAGTTTGAAGAAAAATATGAACATGTGCCATTGTATTATAACACTATCCACTTTCTTGACAGTTAAAGTCTTTTTTATTTTTTTGTAGCATGTAATGTATATGTTCATAGTACGTGAAGTAAATAAAAGTATAGCCAAAACATTGGCTTGGTGTCATTGTCAATCAGCTGTTATTGGAGTATTTGCATTTAATAATATAGAAGTACAGTTGCTGGCAGTATTTTTTAATTGGCCATACTCATGCAAAAACAATTAAGCAAAATATCTGCAGAAAAAAGATAAAGCAAGATAACGAATAGAACTTATTAACCAGTAAAATGTTATGGCCTCTTTGAAACAATATGACTTTCTTTAATAAAATGAGTTCCTCAAGGGCAAGGGAGAAAAGGATATTCTCACTGCAAAGGAGGTTTCATGAGGAAAGTGCACATGAGACTTTGTAACTATTAGTTTCACGTGGAACTGCACAGGTGTATCAGAAGAGAGTGTGGGGGTTCTTTGGATGAGTGTCAGTTTGGAAAGATAAAAAGCTTCCAGTCTTAGGATCATCAGCAGAAATGAGCATTTAAGTATATAAATAATAGCAGCAAGAGTCTCATACAAGAGTCTATTAATGGTTTAATAGGATTTCTTTTAAATGTGGTAGCAGGAGAGCACTGTTTCAGTGAAAGACTAAGATCTGCCGTGTACTGTCAAGGGATGAAATACACAGAAAATGAGGACTAGAAAGTCTGATCTCCCATGTGGAAGGACATTTCAAACGTATATCTTCATTAGACCTATTTTTTTCCCATCACAGTCCTTAAAAGCTGCAAGGGGAAGTGGCCTTTAGGCCTGCAGGGATGGGAATCCATTTAGATGCAAGACCATCCATTAAAAACAAAAAAAACAGTTCTTGAGACATATGCTGAAATAGGGAAAGGGAGAGATGTCTGTAATGGTACTACTACTCCACAATATCTAAAAGCCAGACAGTTTTAGCTTGTGGTGTACACCAAAGAACAGCTCTAGCTTTACTCCACCAGTTCCTTAGCTCTGCACTTTGTGCCATGGTTAATTATGGGCCAAAAGAAATTACATTTGTGGTATTCCAAATCCCTCAAAGCATTTGGCCTTTTGCAAGGGAGCTCCTTTGTTCAGTGTTTTATTTTTAAAGCATTTGTAGGAAGCCATACTGTATATTCCCAATTAAAGCTTTACTTGCTTCACTGTCCGTTTTTCCCAAAAGTATACAAGGAGTAGCCTTCATAATGTTAGCACTGCAGTAATAGTTTTCCTTGCTTCTAAGCGAAAGGATAGCATTTGTTTTCTTAGTCATAACATCACAGTGATAGCTTCTTATATTTAAGTTGATTCAAGTTCAGTTGGCTGGCTACTACAGATAATTTTCTCAGTCAATACTGTCTGGCATAGTCTTCAAGTGGGAATTTATTTAAGTGAGTGACTTTGTATTTAACTGTATTGAGATGCCAACTAATTTTCCTGTGATGCCCCTACGCAATACAGACTATTCTGTCAGCTTCAGGTGGAAAAAGCAAATTTTCATAGGTTGCGGTTCTGCCCCCAGCTTTGTCCCATTGTTCTTCCAATTCAGCTGCAGTGGAACTGCAACCGAAGGCTGCCTTTTAATGAGATGACCTGAGATAATTTCACAACTCACCACAGCCAAAAGGCAGAGGTCCTGTGCCCCTCTCCGCACATCTCTGACAGCCATGCCCTCCTGATTCTTAACGTGGACTGGCACTTGCCAGTTTTCTCTGTGAGCTGATGTGACTCAGGACTCGCACAGAAAACTGTTGCCTTTCCTTCCCCGTCTGCCTCCTCCCGGCGATGATTTTTCCACTGCAGTAGTGATTGAATCAACTCGTGTAAAGGTTGCTGCTGCTGCAACGGATTAGACAAAGATTGCAGCAGGAAATCCTGCTTTGAGTGTTTCCCTGCATTAGACTGTTTACTCCTAATGCTTCAACAATTCTCTGACCGATTTCCAAACGTGCATGTCCTCTGTAACCAGTGCATTCAAAAATATTTCAAGTATTCAGGCAATATGCTACAATTCAGCAAGATTATCAAGTGGGCAACTTACTTGCGGCAAACAAGTATTCTTAACGTGACCTGGTTTATTTGCACCATTAAGCTCTGCACAACTCGAGTACCTGCTCAATATGAGGATCACAGAAAAGATACTAAACGTGATCCAAATCTAATTTCTTGTGCACAACTCCCACACAAAGTCTCAGCAGCCGAAAAGTAAATTGTTATGGTCAAGATTTCTGAAGTGCAGAGATGATTTGCAAGTCAGACGCTCAATGAGTTTTCATAATTCACACAAATAGACCATGACTCTGTGTGCTGCTGGGCTCTCGTGTGCGTCTGCCAAAAACCTTGGGAATTGTGCCTTGTAGTTACAAACAATTCAGAGGTAAAGATATAGAATAGTTCCCAATTTCAGCAAAAACTGCATCTTCTGACTGTATTCCCTCTACATTGAAAATAGAAATTTTTTTTTGGACTTGACACCTAATTTCCACCTTAGCCCAGAACATACTAGTGTCTTTGGTTTTTTTTGTATATATTTTTGTTTAGATAACACAGATTTGAATAGAACTGAGGCCCAGAACGTCACAAGGAAAGTTATGCAAACAGTGATATAAAATCAGTCTGTTAAATTTTGTAGTATGTTGGCAAGAAGGCCTTAAGGATATGTTACTTATACATACCCTGAAGCTCTTGCTCTCTCATTAAAGTAGTATGAGTCAAAGTCAATCAGGAAAAGATAAACCCTTTTTAAAAAGTGTGTTTTAAATTAGGATTTAGCGCTGTACTTGCAGTTGCACATCAGGAGCCCGTTTCAGCAGGCACAAGACAAAACAGCAAAATAGAAGGATGCCCAAGACAGTGCCCAGGGGATGCAGGGTCCTGCTGTGTCTCCAGGGCAGCGAAGGCCCTCGGGCACTTCCACACCTTGGCAAGGCTCAGGCTTTCGCCTACCTGACCCAGGAGCCGCGGGGACAACCGAGAGACACGAGACCTCATTTCACACGTGCCCTGAGTGAACTTCTGAAGGCTGAATTTACACTAGCTAAGCACAAGCCCTTCTCGTCTTCCCAAGCCATGTTGATTTTGGAAATCAAGGCCTTATCTCAAGTCTTTAAACCCGCACTCTAAATATTTCACAAATGCTCTGTGAGGAACTTCTGAATCATTCAACCTCGATTCTGGCTCTCCTGACTTCTTAAAACTGAAATTATCGCGCCCTGCCTCAGATAGAGCTTCGGGGGTGATATTTCTCTTGAGTAAGCACTCTGGAGAAACTGCAGAAACCTCCGAAATCTGACCTACTGCTTTATATCCATTTCTAGATACACCGTGATGTAAAGAGCGTACGGAGTGGTTTGTAAAAAAACACACTGAGGGGTATTCAAATAATGCTATCAGCGCTGGAGGGCGCAGAAACGCGTTGCCCGAGGGGAAGATACCAGATGCGTGAAAAAAAAACCCCAAAACCCCATCGTTTTCCTAAGCGCCC